TTACGCCAACATGCAGTGAATAGCCATTGTTCCCTGCTGCTACTAGTGAAGTTTTGTGGTATTTAAACATATTAACTATATAGTTTTCGTAGGTCAGCCTTTTTGGAGAAGTTGGTATGAGGGATCGTCGGGGTGTACTAGACTTTTCTTATAATTATTTATAGTTTTATAATATATAGGAATTTTCATATAATATAATATGTCAATAGCAACAGACAAAACTCCAACTGTTGAAAGATACAATCCAATTTCAAGCTTGAAATTGTTTACAAATTTGTTTTTAACTTTAGCTATAAGATAATATAAACCAACCACAGATTTTTTAGCTTTTGTTTTATTGTATTTAGACCTTTCACTAGAGATTAATACCTTTACTATTTGATTAAAAAATCCTTGTAACCAATTATCAGCACTTTTTATTATAAGTTGAAATTGGTTAGAATCAAGCTCAATATAATCAAAATGATTTTGTTAGTTTTTATATAAAACTTTAATAAGAAGGTGAATTTGTTCTGCAAACCTCACTTTAATATTGTTTGTTAAAATACTATTTCTATTATATATTATCTTGGTTAAAGGTTTTTTGAATACAAGTTACTCTTGTTATAGTGAACCTTCGATATAGTAAAGAATTTTTTTAGGACAGAATCAATATTAATAAATTTTTGCTCTATATAATGAAGTTAAATAGTAAACTCTCGATATAAGCTATAGTGAAGATTTTTGTAAACAGATATAACAAAATACCTCATATTATAGTGAAGATTTTATCATGTAATAATTCTTGACCAATCAAATTAACAGATTAGTTGTCATACTCATGCTGCTATGTATAAAGATAATGTTAATGACAATAAAGCCATAATTTATTTATGTGTAACTAACCTTGCTTTTTTCACTATTAACTTCCAGATTTTGAGTTCTGGAGAAAATAAGATGGTGACAAAAGTTATCTAATTTTATAAATTTAAAATTTTTATTTAAAAACAATGGTATCGAAACAGAACAAGATAAAGTAAAATCAGTTAGATGCAGAGACAGATTTTTTTTTTAAAAAAAGAACAATATTATTGGAACAGAAAAAGCTAAAAACAATGGTATCGGAACAGAAAAGATGAAGTAAAATCATTTGAATGCAGAGACAGGTTTTTTTTTTTTTTTTTTTTTTTAAAAAAAAAAACAATAGTATTAGAACAGAAAAAGATAAAATAAAATTATTCAAATACAGTTAAATTTGTGGAGCCAAATTTTTTTTGTTTCTAAAAAAATTTTTTTTTTGATTCACTCTAATTGAATGCCGGCCCTCTAATTTTTTTACACCTCAATGAAATTCAGTCTTCTTCCAGTTCTAGGGACATTATGTCCTTATGTAATGACTCGTTAACTGAATCTTATTTTGGTAAGCAAAATTATACTATTCCTTATTTTAGAAACATGCCCCCTTTTTTTTCTTTTTTTAAAATAAAATTTTTTTTTTACTCACTTGTAATAGCAATAATGGAAGAGTCTTCTAAAGAGTCGAGAAGAAAGAAGCAAAAACATAGTAAAAAAAAAAAAACTGATACAAGAAAAAGTTTGACTGGTGCTCAGAAGGCTGAAATATGCTGTTTAAAACAAAAAAAGTATTAGTTAAGTTAAACTAGCTGATCAGTTTGAAGTTGCTAAAGCAACAATTTCAAATATTGTTTGTGGAAAAAAGAAGTGGTTGGCACTTAATCTAAGTTCAAACAATGCCGATTTGAAGCGACAAAGAGCTGGAAAATTTCCTCTGTTAGAAGAAGCACTTGCACTTTGGGTATCAAGAGCAAATAGTACATATCAGACAATTACAGATACAATAATTCAATATAAGGCAACACAACTCATGGAAGGGCTTGAAGTAACAGGCTTTAATGTCTCTGATGGGTGGCTTTCAAAATTCAAAAAGCAATATCATATAAAAGAATACAAGCATTTAGGTGAAGGTGCAAGTGCACTTCTTGAGGATCTTTTCAGATTTCGCAAAGAGCTGAAGAATTAATAAAAAAATACAAACCTGAGGACGTTTATAATGCTGATGAGACTGCATTATATTTGCATATGGAACCAGATAAAATATTATCTGATGGCCCAGTTGCAGGAAAAAAAAAAGCCAAAGACCATGTTACTATCTTACTTACATATAATGCAACTGGTGATCACAAACTTTCCCCTCTGTTCATACATAAATATAAAACTCCTTGAGCTCTTAAAAATATTGATAAATCTACTTTACCTGTGTATTATTATTAGAATTGTTCCTCTTGAATACAAACATCTATTTTTACCAATTACATTAAGCATCTAGATAACCAAATGCGACTTGCTCGTCGTTCAATTCTTCTCATAGTAGATAGTGCATCAACTCATATACTTGAAGAAGGCTTTATCTCAACAAATGTTAAACTGCATTTTTTTTCTTCACACACAACAGCACATCTTTAACTATGCAATGCTAGAATAATTTGGAGTTTTAAAGTAAGCTAATTTAAGTTTACTTATAATTTTTGTTAAGAATTACTAAATTAATTATCCTACATAGGCATATTATAAAAAAATTTTTTGTGAGAATCGTATAGAAGTATTTAATTTTTTTTTAGAATCTGGTGACTCTCCTGAAGAGATTACTATCAAAGATGCAATTGACTTTACTGCTTCTGTATAGAAAAAGTAACTTCGAGTAAGAATCAGAATAAGCATAGTTAATTACTATGCTTAGCTGACTAACTAGTTAACTAAATATTGTAGTTAATTAAGACATTAGTAAACAGGAATTAAATTGCCGTATAAAAAAAAAATTTCAGAACCTATGATTTATATTATTCAAGTATTCAAAAAATGATTTATACTTTCACTTTTACTATCTTATAAAATTTTAAATTAATGTTTCAATTAGCTAACCTAATTTTCTAACTCTAGAAATGATCTGTAATTGTTGGAGGAAGACTGGCATTTTGCTAGAGGATTTTCTTAGCAAATTATTTCTGTATAAAGAACTTGACCAAGCCAATGAACCTGATATTACTGATAATATTCAGGAATTGATTATACAATTGCTTCTTGACCAACCCATGGATGCACAAGAATACGTGATTGCTGACAATAATCTTATCACCACTGAAATACCAACTGATGAAAAAATAATTGAGGCTGTTAAGAATTGTGATTGTATTGAATCTGAAGAAGAAAGTCAATGCAAACCGATATTACTTGCAGAAGTCTTAAGATTTATCTGTAGGATTCTAACTTTTCTTGAACAACAGTCCGATAGTAGCTTTAATGTTGATGATTCTTTTATTCAGGATTTAGAAAAATTACAAAAAAAAGTAAATTTGAAACATGTTGCTTCCAAATATTAAACCACCTTAGATATATTTATTTGTAGTACAAATTAAATTTTTTTCGATTTTTTTTTTTTAAAAAAATTTTTTTTTTATCATAAATTCTTTTTTTTAAAAAATTTTTTTTTTTTTTAAATCTTTTTTTTTTTTGATTTTTTTTTTAAAAATTTTTTTTTTTTGATTTTTTTTTTAAATTTTTTTTTTTAAAAAATTTTTTAAAAAATTTTTTTTTTTTGACTTAGAGCAAAATTAGAAGCAACAAACTAATTAAAAAAAACTGATTAGACGGCAATGTTCTATTATTTGAAGGGATAAATTTTAACTTTTTTTTTTGACAAAATGTGATCAGATTCTTGTAGGTAAATGCAAATTTTTATTTTATTTTTTTCAAATTTTATTATTTTAAAACATCAGTTTGGTTTTAGAGTAAGATGTTTTAAATCAAATTTTTACAAATAAAAATATGAAATTTTAGTTTCTGGGTGCTTTATTTTTATACAAAAACAAAAAAAAACAAAAAAAAAAGATTCAGTAATAAATTCTAACCTTTCATGGCCTTACAAATATAATTGTAGTATATGCCGTGTTGTCACTAATTTTCTAGCACTTCTTTGATTCTAAAATATATAAATTAGTTATCTGGCTAATTGATTTATATAGCCAATCAAACAAACTTCTATTTACAATTTTAAAGAATGCTTAAGATATCGACTGGTAATAGAATAATTATAATTAGATATAATAATGTTAAAATAGCTAATAAATTAGCTTTATATATAATAGATTTTTAGGTATTTTATTATTTCTCTCGATATAGTGAAGATTTATATATTTGATTAATATCTTCACTATATCAAGAGGCTTTCAATCTCTCAATATAGTGAAGAAATTTTACAGCCCAAGATCTTCACTATAACAAGAGTAACTTGTATATGGTGATTAGGTTCTATGATGTCTAAGTAGTGACAAATACAAAGTTCTTGCCCAATTTTAAGATAGGAATAATTTTTTAATGTTCTTTTTTCTTTTGCTTTTTTATATATTAAAAAAGTAATTCCACAAAAACTATTTGTTTTCTTATTACAACCTTGTATAGTACAGGGTCTATTATGTTTTTTAAAAGGTAATATTATAATAAAAAAGTCTTCAAAAATTGACCATAGCAACAGCAAAGCTTGAGAACAAATACACCAACTTCAATTACAACAAAACTTGAAAATAGTTATAGCAAGGCTTGAACATAGCGAAACTTAATTACAACAGAATTAAGTATAGCAAAATTTTCATAGCAAGATTTAACTACTGCAAATTAGGTGTGGCAAAACTTTAATATGGCAAAACTTGAAGATAGTTAAGCTTAATTATAGCAAATCCCAATGAGACTTTGATTATAGCAAAACTGATTATAGTGAAACTTTTAAACATGGCAAAACTTTTGGCAACTTTACAATAAATTTTAGTTTTGAAAAATTCTAAACAAATTTTTTTTGGTTTATATATAATTTTAAATAGCCAATCAAAATTTAATATGATATGATTTGCAAGTTGCATATTGTAACCAATAACAGAAAACTTCTATTATGCTAAAAAATAATAAATTAATTTAAATAAATTCTTTTTAGTTTTATAAAATAAAAAAAATGTTTAAATTATTAAATAGCAAGCAAATTTAAACTTTGTTTATAAAACCTATATATAGTATTGTAGTTTTAAAAAGATTTTTTTTTAAAAAAAAATTATTATATTTAAAAAGAATAAATATATGCATTGCACCCTGCAATATGCTAATTCATCGCATGTATAAATAATTTATAATTTGTGGATCCGTGTAACACATTTTATTTATAAAGAATTAATATTTGATTAAGATTAGAGTTAAAATTAGAATTAAAGGTTAGCGGATAGAGTAGGGCTTATTATATACCAAAATTTTGCAAGGAATTTTTTTTGTTAGAGCTCAAAAAGTAGGTTCATAGACAAATTTACACGTTACACCTGATCTTCAAATTTAATTGGTCAATTGTCAAGATGCGATATATAAGCACGTTGCGGGGTGTGATGCCTAATTAACCTCTAAAAAAACTATTTTTAAATCATTTTATTATATTATTTTTATTGAATATATACTGTACGTATTTATTCAAAAATAAAATAAAAAGAATTTTTCAAGATTGTAAAAATAACTAAATTTTTTGTAAAATATCACAAATTATCTCATATTTTATATATAATTATATATTGTAACACTGTATATACTATATAAATACAATAAAATATTTTTGATACAGTATATTCGTTATTGATCAAGTTTTTAATTAGTGCGATGTGGTAGACAACTTTAAAAAGACGCATTATATATAAACATATCAAGAAACAAGGTTGCTATACTTAGCAAGAAATGTATAAATTTATAATAACAAAAGAGTAAAGTTTAATTCTCGAGGGGGGAGGGGGGTATAACAGAAATATAATTCATTTAAATCGGGTTTCAAAAAAAATTAAAATTCATTTAAAACGTTATGTGTTCAAATTTTAAGTTATAGCGATAGATATATATATCAAATGTATATATATATATATATATACGTATAAGTGTGAAATTTGTATGCCTAAATTTTAAACCAATTACGTACGTTTATGAACTAAAAAAGGTTTTAAACATATGATTTTTTTTAAGTTTATCAATATAATTGCTTATCACGTGGATACAATGCATTATAAATATAAATATATAGACCAATATGTTAATTCGTTTACCATCATATGCTAATTTGGGATTAAAGGCAGTAAGATAAATAGTATAGGATTAACTAAACTAAAGTAAGGTTTCCTAAAGCAAATAAGATTAACTAAAGAAGTATTTAAAGGATTTAAAGAACTTTGGTCAATATATCACAGTTGTTTGATTGATATGTATAATCGGCATATAACATTGATGAATCAAGTTATGACAATGAAACCAATATAATTCAATAAATACTTACGTATTTAACGGCTTTTTTGTATTATGACATTGAAAAAAAAACAACAATATACGTATACAATGAATACATTCACAAATACCGCAACACTACGTATCAACAGTATCTAGCATATATTCACGGAACTTATTAAATGCCATATGGCATATACAGTATATATATACAGTATATATATAGGTATAGATGTATAAATGTACATATTATATGTATATAGATATATACGATGTTTATCAAACTAGTGTATCTTCCATTTAACCAAAATCAAAACTCGTGTACACTCATTTATGTTACCAAATACCCGGTATTAGATGTTATATTCTAATCATTAAATTAGGCATTTACAAAGATTAATAGAATAAATAAAAATAAATATTCTACGTAAATGTTCTTTTGATTTTATTTCGTATTAATGATTTATGTTAATGATTTATTATAATAAAAGATACTTTTGTTAAGTCTTATAAAAAAATCAACGTTAAACTCTTATGATAAGTTATATATCAAAATTTTTAGAATTTTAATTATCGAAATTTTTTTTATCAATTATCGATGAGATGAGCCAATTACATTTCATCATTCCAAAAAAAAAAAATCCTTCGAATAATTTATAAAAAAAAAGTTCTTATGCATTTATTTTTGTTGATTAACTTTCTCAGGGATCTGTAAAATACTTGATATATTTCATCACAATGATTTCGTCATTTCCTTATTATTATTCTCTCTCTTTTCTTTACCTTTCTTATTTTCATTATTATGAATTAAATTCTATATTTTTCGTCGCGAACTCTTTCAATCGCGTGTGAATGCGTGACAAATTATTAATGATGACTGTGTAACGATAACAATTCAACATTTCTTCTGATAAGGTAACGGAATCGTATAAAAGAATTATTAAACCAAATATTCTCCAATAATAAAACATCATAAATACTGATCCCACGACATACAGCCTGTTTTGTGTTTAACCAAAAAAAAAAAAAATTTCATTCTTCTTTTTTTAAATTTTTTTTTTTTCATTATTATTTTAAAATTCCTAATGGTGGGTAGACCTCCAAAGAATCAATTAAAAAAATCTCAAGGTGACCTTTCTCCTTCCCTATATGACAAATACACGGATTTAAAACGTAAATATAAAGAATTAAAAAAGGTATGAGCTTGTAATAATTAAAAGTTTTGCTGCCGTTAATCAATACATTTTCGTTAAATATTCTCAAAACGATCTAAAAGTTCAGTTCTTTAAAATATAGAAAAATGCGAATCTAAACGAAGAATGCGAGCGCGCAATCAAAAAGATTAAAAGGTGTAAGGACGAAAGAGAGTATGTCTTTGTTATAAACCAACATAATTTTTGTTAATTTTATATTTTGTTTTATTAATTTTTTTTCTTTTAAAAAAAGTTCTTTGCTGGGGCAATTAGCAAAGTCTTCAATTGAACCTGAGTCTAAGCATGCACGAGTATCCATACCTATTACCAAATATGATAATTCTTCTTCTATTATTCCTAAAAGTACTTCTTCAGCTCTTGTTAATACAAAACACCGGTCCCTTGTAAGAAATATTGTAAATGATATTCCAATTAAATCAAAAGTTTCAGCTCCAAAACGTGGTCAAGGCCGTGCTCCTGCTGCACCAAGAAATATGAAAGCTTATCTTGTTCCTAAAGATGAGAATGGAAATTTTATTCTTCCTGTTGAGGTTGGCCTTCACACTGTAATCAAACTTGGAAAAATTGTTTATGATCGAGATTCATTTCATAATGATCGATATATTTATCCTGTTGGCTATGCTGTTAAAAGGTTTATATTACTATCTTTATGTTCATATGTAATAATATAATAATAATAATAATTAACCTTATTATTATTATTATTATTATTATTATTATTATTATTATTATTATTATAAATTTATTATTTGATTACTATATTTTCAATCCTTACTAACTTAAAGAAAAAACTTTAACTTTTAGGCCATATCTCAGTATGGTTGATCCTGATAAAAACACAATTTACACTTCTAGAATAGAAGATGGTGAAGATGGGCCAAAGGTAATTTTTAATTCCTTTTTTTTTCATTCGTGATATTTTTCTTTTTAAACCTCTTTCTTTAACCTTTTACAATAACGTTACGATAACGTTTTTAGTTCATCGTTGAAGCTGAAGATCGTCCGAATCAACCAATCACTGCGTCGAGTGCAACTGGTGCCTGGACGCCTGTAATTAAACAAGCTAATATCATTCGTGAACGGAAGCATTCTAATGCTGCGTCTGGTCCTGATTATTTTGGTTTATCTCAACCTACTATTCGAAAGATGATACAAGAATTACCAAATGCTGAACATTGTAAAAATTATATAATGCAAGTATTTGAATTGCATGTTCCAAATAGTGCCGGTAAACATAGTAAAAAAAGGTTTTCAAAAAAGTATGATATGGAATCGTGTGATATGGAAGCATTTTCGTAATTTTTATTATTTTTATATATCTTTGAAAATTCTTGTGGGATAATTTGACAAAGGTTTTAATTGACGAATACAAAACGCGTTTTTTTTTTCATGAACATTTAAAAATTTGTTTGATTTAGTGCTGTAGTGTGTAGGCTTGTTTATTACAAAAAAAAAAAACGTCATTAATTTACGGTTTATACTTTCAAATTTTTATATTATCGTAGTATAATTTTATTTCTTGAAAATTGAGTGGGTTTCTGAGTCATAAGGACGAATACTTTTTTTAGAATCATTGCTTTATTAAAAATTTTTTAAAAAATTAAAACCTCGGTTTTTTTTTTTATCTATTACAATAATTTTGTTTGAATTATTGAATCTTTAATATAATATAACGCGTGGGTTTTACCTATTTTAATGAAATAAAGTGTAGAAATAAATTTGCGTATATATTTTACTCAAGTTGCATAAATATATATATATAATTTTATACAAAAGTAATTTTTATTACTTTAATTAATCTAATATGTATAAAACAAAAAATACAAAAATACTCACATTTACCTAAATAATAACTATTAAAATCATTAAAATATATCCAAATATGTAATAATCATTTTTATTCATTCTTATCCCATAAGTTGTGAATTATCCTCTGGCGGATATTTGGACTGACAAAATGTCATTAATCTCTTTATCGACTGAATCCATTTACGTGTTGTCTCATCGTTAAGCACATGGGCGACTTGTGCTGAGAAAATCTTTTCACGTGCAGAACGTTCGTGAATACTATTTTAAATAAATAATATTAATATAAATTAAATGTGTCAATGAACACAAGATGCTGAGATGTTTAAATGATGAAATAAATACTTACCCAACCATAGTAACACCTAATTTTAAATAATGTAATATTGATAAACGTTTTTCTCAAATAAATAAATAAATTTTAATATTATTATATTAAACGATGCTTACCAATGGGCCAAGGTGCATTCCCAATAGATAAACGCAAATAAGCATCATTTGCTTTCATATACTCTCGTTTTTGCATATAATGTGTAATTTCAGTTATTCGTGCCAGTACATCTGGTTCAATTGCCTAATAACATTTATTTACTTTAACTATATATATATTATATCAACTAATAAACTAGTAATTATGTTTTTTTTCCTACCTTTTTTTTTAATGTTCTAAAGAATGGTTGCATATATTCATTTGTCTGTTTTTGAGTAGCTGCTGCAAATTTTCCTTGTGTGCTTCTCTTTATATGATCTGGACGATTATTCATTTCATGTTCCCATTCTCTTAATAAACGCTATATATGATAATATTGAATTTGTAAATAAAAATAAATATTTACATATATATTGTACATACTCAAAAAATACAATACACACCTTAAAGAAAGTGTATATAAGGACATAAAGTTTGTCAGAATCTTTTTCAATGAGATCAACTTCAATTGGTGTATTATCTAAAGGTAAATCTTCAATTGGTCTCTTTTTCTTTGAAGATCTACTATTATCTTCTTCAGGTTGTTTTTTCAAAATTTCTAAATCTAAACCAGTCTCCATTTCTTCCAAAGTTTTCATGAAATCATTACGTTGTCCTTCTGATCTTTCCTCTATAAGTTCAAGTGCTCGTAATCTAGTTTTTCTATCTTTATCTGATTCTCCGAAAAGGCGAATTGGTTGTCCTTTTGCTCTTAATCTACGAATTACTTCTTCTTGTGAAATATTAAAGGTATCACTACCATCATTCTGAAACAAATTTTATTTTTAGTAATCAAAGTATAATAAAAGTGTTAAGAAAGTGTTAATAAAAAAATATTAATGCCAAAGTTATTACCTCTTCTTTTTGTACTTCACTATTCGGTGTGGAGCTTTCTGCCTTTTCGAGTTCATTAGATGCCGTAAGCTATTAAGCGCAAGAATAAAGGTTAGTCTGTCAGCTTTTAGTTATATAAAATCAAAATGATCATATTTTAAAGCATACCGTTTGAGAGTGTACTTTACGTTTTTCCTAAAGAAATAAAATGTGATTAGGAGAAAAATTTTTTTGCCAAAAAAGATTTAAGGAAATGAATAATGCATAAATTAGACTGTACCTCACGCTTTCGTTCTAAATCTTCTTGAGCTTTTAAGTACTCTTGTTCTCTTTGTTTTTCTAATTCTGCTCGACTGACATACTTCTTTTTTTTAGATCCTTGATCTCCGTTTGTAAGGTTTCCTAAAGATTTTCTTTTCTTTTCGATTTCAGATTTTAAACTATCCATAATAATTTATTTTACTATCGTCGTTATCGTTACCGTAATCGTTATCGTTATCGTTATACAGTTATATATATATATATATATATATATATATATATATACTGTATATACAGCTATACGTACGAGTTTAAAATTTAATATGTCTGATGCCTAAATTTAGGTAATTTGTCTCGTGATCTCTTAGTTAAGGATGATTGGCCCAACATTAAATGTTCTGGTTTCTTCTTGAAAATACTACAAGATTACAATTCATGTAAATGTTGATACAATGACAACAAAGTTATATCCAGTATATCTTTAAAATTATATACTATCTATATATATAAGATGATCTTAATTAAAATTATCGATTACACGGGATAATCTCGTTTCTTTGACATTTGAAAAACGTTTGTAATATATAACGTGCATTGGTTTCATTGGTTCATATAGACCTTAAAAATAGGGAATATTACAATTAACAATGCCCTAAATGCTAATGTTAATTTGTTTAGATCATTTTGGTACGTATACCGTATCCAGCGTTGGCTTGACCATTGAACCAGACCTATTTGACCGGTCTGGTCAAAGGATTTGTACTGGTCAAATTGGTCAAATAGTATATATAATTTATTATATATATATATATATATATTATATTTGACCAGTAAATTTTTGGTCGACCACTAATTTGCCCAACACCGAACGTATCGTAAAAAAAAAAAAGCTCCATTGCAAATTGGTAAATGCAACTAGTATGTCAACACCGAATTGAATTAGTATCGAAATAATTTCATTAAATTCGTAAATTTTAACTGTATTATTCAAACAAAAAAATTAATAAAAAAACAATTACATATAATAATACAACTATTCAGTATGGTAATCGCAAATTTTTATATATGCTTATATACTCATTACAAGAGCTTCAGCTCAAATGAAAAATGAAATGAACAAAAATAATGCTATTAAATGCTTCCTTTGACAAATGATTACTCATAAAAAAGAGATTGCTTTGCTAAGCACAGTGATCAGTTCTCAATTTTGAAAGCATGTGCAATATAGTTTTTTTTTTGCATTATGAGGAAAATTCAAGTGCAAGATCAAGATAGAAAATGGTTTGAAATAAACAACAAAATTTTCTATGTTTCCATAAAAACATTTGATGACGAATCGTTATTGTTAGAATTATCTTCTGTTTGATTTTTTGCAAGTTTAGCCTTGAAAGCATTAAAGTCACTTTCATCATTGTCATTGTCATCATCATCATCATCCTCCTCCTCCTCTTCATTTTCGACCAGCTTATGACCTAAACTAAGTGCTTCCTTCATATTATAATGTTTAGCTCTAAGCTGTGCAAATTTGCGACGCTTTTCTTTGGCTAGATAAAGTAGGTGATTTAGAATGGATCAGTAAATCGTTCATTATAAATGAATATTTCAATAAACTCACTTTAATTATGTTAAATTAAAATAATATCATACTTTCTTCGTCTTCTGAACCTTCAGAATCCCAATCATCTTTTACTGAATCAGGAAAATGAGCTGATGATGGTGAACCGGATGAAAGAGTTCCTGATGGGGAAGACTCTCTATTAGATTCCAAAGTGAGCCCTGGAATAGCTTTAAAGCATATAAAAGTAGACTTCTCAGAACATAAATCAATTTCATGGATAATAATTAAACTCGACTTCATTTAAAATAAAACTTACTTTGAAGATCAGTCATGATTTCATCAGTTTCTTGATTGTAATGAATGTAAGGAGTTTTAGGTTCGGTAATTTTCATTGTAGAGTTCTTCTGGCTTTCAGTAAGTTGAATGTTGTCTTCATCCCATTTTAGCCTTGTAAAAAAGGTTTGACCTATTAATGTTGAAATTGATAAATCATTACAATGTTTGGCTTACCTGTTTTTCTGTTGAAAGTTTATGGATGGTTTTTTAAGAATTCCTTTGGGTTTACTCTCAAAAGTCGCCATTGATAACAAAATGCGTTGAGAGCAAAGTGGTTATTTAAGTTGCTAGAGTAAGAAAAGATACAGCCATTTAAAAATGACACAAATCTCTAACTTTTTGAAAGTATCAGTATATATTTCGGGGGATCTTATCACTTGTGTCGGAATATATAAATCCCGTGATACTGCGGATTTAAAAAATATTCACTTGTACGTATTTCAATTTGATTATCGTTACTGATTCACTCAAATCAGACATCAAACGTATTTAATATTAAAAATGCCTTTCGATTATTTTTTTTTTAGAATTTAATATTTCATGATAATTGATACTTTTTGATTTGATCTTAATGAAGACAGTGATAAAGAAAATATATAACCTTCATCAAAACGCACTAAATCCACAATTACGTTAATTTGCCTTATCAAAGGAAACCCACTTGTACTGTATATATCGACAAAAATAAACTTATAAACGTTTTTTAATTCTACTGATTATAATGCAAAAAAAAAAGAGCTGAATGAACATGAAGATAGCAAAGAAAAAATTCAAATTGATTATCTTGACTATTTACAGTATTAGGTACTCAATGATCATAATAGGTATGCATTTTAAATAATATATACATATAAAAATCAATATTTATATTGAATTATTATAAAACGCACCTATGGTGTTTTAGCACCTATGTATAATTTCTTTTAATAAAATTTAGGGTTAGGGT